GGCGTATACTCAACTTCATTATTCAAGATAATTTAAATGCGTTTGCGGGATCTTAGTGGTTGTAGTTGTACGCGTATAGCTATGATGACACAGTAAATTAGTATATAATAACTTTCGCCAGTCAAATACAATATAAAAATCTTTGCAAAGATAGCACAATCGTCCTTATAACAGTTAACCGCGAGAAAATAAAGCGTGGAAACATTGTAAATTCAGTCTTGAAATGAGCATTTTTGGTAGTTATTATTTGTGATAATTGCCATGTAAAGGTTAAAATGATAAAATTTTACTGCTAACTCGACTAAACTCCAGAAAGAATAAAAAAATATTAGTTCGTATTAACGTCGATTTCATTACAGATAGGAAGTAGTATATTTCTCTTTCAATTTCTACTGCCAAATACTATTATAAATAATTCATGAATAGAATTCAGCATTTTTATCTATCTATTTGTATTCTTAATACGAATTCTGTGTACCAATGTTAAGTTGCACGAGTAAAATATCTCTGTTGAAGTGAAATCACTTGTGACGGTGTTATACACTGTATTAGAGTAGAAATATCTATGTTAGGATAATTCTGTTAGCCTATCCTTATTTAGTTAACTTCTAATTTGGATATACTGTGTTTTAATATAGCACTGACTTTTTATGACAGTGACACCTATACACATACTGAAATTAATAGTTATAATAGGGAATACAAATCATCTACTTACAGTTCGAATTATTGTGATTGTAACTTACTTATGATAGATTGTAAATTATTGTAGAAATGTTCCATGATAGGACATATCGTAATCTGACTATTCTGTATTAGTAATCAGATGTCGTAATTACTGTTGTCTACATTAAGAGAGCAGTAGCTAAAATTAATATCTAATTCAGTGAACGATTCCAAAGTTAATCGTACTAACTATGACTCATGAACTATTGAGGAAGAGTATATAAATGCAGTATATCGTGTATTAAAGTGGATTCTTAAACTGAGTGTTTAATGTAAAATACGAGGCGTCTAAGTCTTAGTGTAGTCTGCTAGTAGAGCAAAAGTGTTTCTGATAGTGCAGATATCGTTCCTTGATACGTGGTTCAAGGAACTGACTTATTGATCGTGCATTACGTTATCTTGTTGCAAAGCTGTTTTGTGACATCACTTTATTTAAATCTTTTCCTTATGATAATGTTATAGATTCAAAGAATAATGACTTAAACGCGTCATCATTTTCAATCATTTATTGCCGTAATTAGATTCAATTTATGGGATCAAATCTTAACGGCGGGTAATATTCTAATTTTACCAAAGATTAATTCCTTTATGGGAATAATTCGAGTTTTGCTTTTAGCACAAATTGTCCCACCAATGGTTACTCCGAATAGAGAAATCTTGCTGTAGCCTAATTTCTAGATATCATTTATTTTAATCCGATCTACTTACAGATACACGAAGTATGTGCAATTTTTCGTTGTAGAATTTAATAAATTTAAGTTGTATTTTTATGCAGTGATAGTATGAGAGAATTTTAATTGTATTCATATAGCCTAATAATTTTAGAAAACTGTCCGTCTAAAATGTAACCTAGTGCAGGTAGGTCCAAAATACATGTAATTTTGACTATAGAATTGATCAAATTAAATTTTATCTATATGAAAAAGTGTCAAAAGAGACTTTTAATTACATGGTCTAAAAATTTTTAAAGTTTTTCATTTTCAATCTGATCTAAAATAAAAAGTAAATTATTCATGGATTCAATTACAGAAATTGATCAAATTATGCTACACGAATGCGAAGAAATGATAGTCATGTTTCATACAGTTTCTAACTGTTAGTATTTGGGGGATTCTGGTACTAATATTTTAATTTTCAATGCTATTGTATTAAACTTTCCTATATTTACTACTAATGGATTTCTTCGAAAAAGGGTCGTCACAGCTTTTTGAGGTCAAAAATTAACAAAAACAAAGAAAGATAATCTATTTTATTACCGGTATTAATTGTTAAAATTTATTATTTAAAACCTAACTTCCAATCGCTTGGATTATATTTTTACCGTGAAGACTACAGAAATAAATTGACTTTAAGTCGATACTAAACTTAGTCTATTGCCTCAAGATCTAATTTTGCTTTAATAGAAAAGAATTTCATGATTTGCTGGTACGTAATATTGCTATTAGATCGAATGCAAATTGTGGTAAATCTAATTGATAGACAGTTGCGGATTCTTTTGATAAAATATAAACTGTTAACACTTTTCTACTGTTATTCTACTATTTACAACTCGCTTTCTATGACATCCAGACGTTTTTTTATCATTGAATTATTTATTTCAATGATGTTGACTATTTAGATTGTTATTCTCAACAGCTGTAACGAAAATTATTATGGTGATTGTAGACTTTTAGCTGTGTTTAGTAAGATGTACGGGAGCGTAACTTTCTATATTTATCTTAAGACGTACTTGAAAGCTCGCTACTGTCGACTGTAATGCTAGATTCTATGCTATAGTACAGATGACTATATATATAGTAAGATGTCCAGTTACTATTAAGGCTAGAGGTAAAAACAGATCTGTAAATCATATATTAAGATATACTTAGTTTACCGTACTTTGACTGCTAAGAATAATATCTACGGAAATACTACGGTTGTTTCCATATCGGATGAATGATGGTCCGCTGTAAAATGTTGCTACTAATAATAATTTGAATAAGTGTAAATTAAGGTAGAATGTTGCTATACTGATTGTGGCTATGACTGCTACGAAATATATATAAGTTGGCAACTTTAGATTGTTCAGTCAGTTCTTTCTACAAGTCTTTCGGTAGTTGTATTCGGCTAGAGTAGAGCTGTGCGTAGCTAGTCTTTATATCAGATCTGATCAAGTTCTAATTTTCCACAACTTGGAATATTCGTGATCGAATTTTATCTCAACAGCCGATCTGGTCTAAATTTGATAATCATCAAGCATTTTATTTGACATTATAATTGAATAATCTATCTGTCCATACCACATTTCCTGCATTGATTGATCGATTACTGATTAGCCCGTAGATTCTTGGCAGTTTGTAACAAACGTAAGGTTTAATTGGTATACAATTTTTTCGTGGGTTTGTCCTTTCGAAAGAGTTAGACTCTATATGAATATTACTCTCCTTTATTAAAGACATGACACTTGATCAGTACCTTTCAATGATCGCTTATGGATTTATAAACTACTTTAGTTACCGTAAGTCACACCATTGCATCAGAAAAATTGGGGGATCCACTTTTGACAAGTGCTTCATACAATCCTATTGTTGATTCCGTACGTTCTGCGTACGGTATGAATTTAATCATCGATGTTAACGTAACTTTTGAAAACCTCCGCTATTTGCTTACAGAGAGCGATAATTGCGAATAGAAAACTTCAATCCTTCTTTATATAGTAATAGCAAACAATGTTATCGATACGGTATGTTGTATAGCAGATCTCCTAAATTTCTGTTGTGATTATCCAAGATTTTTGTATTGATTGAATGATAGGTTCGATACTGATACGATCAAAAATTCATGGAAGCAGTCGCATATTCGGCTTAATTAGGCCCTGAATTATCTTTCGTAAAAATAAAGCATGAAGATTAATGGCCTACCTAATTTAGAAAGTTTAAGATAGTTGAAAGAATTACTAAATAATAAAACCACCTTTAACTATACTTGTGATCCCTGTTTGGTATAATTTTATTTAGTATACTAACAGCTCAAAACTCAATCCTATCCGCTATTTGGGATTTCATTAGCAGATTATTATGACTAGAAATTATCCATGCTGTTGGCTTTGATGATACAGTACATTGTTACAACGACAAATTGCCTATCAATCTGATAAATTGTAATTGATAGCTGGCTTTTTAACTATACTAAATCCAACTTCAAATATGAAAGACTTAATAGATAGGGTTTAATATGGATATGATCAAAAATTCATAAAAGTGGCCATATAAATCGGCTTAATTAGGCATTGAACTATCTTTCGTAAAAATATGAAGATTAACGGCCTATCTAATTTAGAAAGAAGTTTTAGACAGTTGAGAATAACTAAATAGTAGGGGCTTTTTTTTAACTATATTTGTGATCCCTGTTTGAAATAATGTTATCTAGCATACTGACAGCTAATGAACCGTTGCTTATTCACTATTTTAAATTTTATTAGCGGAATTATTGATAAGAGATTATCCAAGTGTAATCTGACGACTTTAATGACATATTATTTACACTATAAGTTGCTTATCAATCCGATATACTGTAATTGATAACTGGATTTTTGACGATACTAAATCCAGCTTCCTAATGGGAACTTTATTACCTTTCTAAACTTGAAAGACTTTGAATATCTTGGCCAAAGAATAAAAACAATAATTGTAATTAAGTGAAACTATAAGAGAAGTACATTTTTTAATTTTAAAGAAATGAATAGTTAACAGATCAATCCGTCGATTTTTTTGTCAACAAAGTTGTTTACTGTAAAACGCTTGATTCAAGTCTATAGGAAGTTTAAAGAATGAAATTGACTTATTCATCTGCCAAAATGAGCTTTCTATTCTTTATTCATTCAAACTAAATATAACCTATTACTCAACATATCTTCAGGTCAATTTAGGATAAAGGGGTAATTACTCATGCTCATTATTTGAAACTCTTGTATCTTAAATTGCTCAACCTTACTCGATTATCCTTCATTGATAAATTTATGTTACTGTGGGATGTGAATTAATGCTTCAATTTTTTGGATATTTCTTAATTTCCATGTTTCTTGTGATTCCTGTTATCATCCTTTTTAATTTTTTTAAACTAAGTTTATGCGTAAAACTTCGAGTTAAAATCATATCAATATTAATAACGCTATTATCATATTATTTACTGTACTTTTTCCTAGCTCTTTATTGAATTTTACTGAACTTGCTATTAATACACTTTTAATTCACAAATTATTAATATTACTTATTGAATTAATTTTTAAAATAGCCATGGAAGGTTCTATTAAAAATTATACAACATCATGGCCATCTATGAACGCAACGGCTGAGACGGTCATTGATAACAAGCCTAATGTGTTTATTATGGTTCTAAGTGCTTTGTATGGAGCTGTTTGCTTACTTTCCCTTATTGGCAATAGTATCATATGTGCTGTAATCATTAATAGAGGAGTTCAAAAATCTAACATATATAAATTGTTACTCAATCTATCCTTGGCTGATTTACTGATAACTGTTACTATGCCATTTTATGTGGCCTCCACATTAATGGGCCATTTCATCTTTGGAATGCTGATGTGCAAACTTACTTTTGGCTTGAGCCATTTAGGGTTACGTGTATCTATGCTAATATTAGCATTAATTAGTTATGATCGTTATCGAGCTCTTGTTGGTAAACGTTGGCAAGGTATGTCATCATTTACTATTAATTTGTTAATCCTACTGATTTGGTTAATCAGCATTGGCGTTGTTATACCTCAGTGGATGCATTTAACAGTCAATAAGTTTGATGGCTTGGATTACTGCCAAGAAGACTGGCCTATAGACACCTATCGTACTACTTATATCATCTGTTTATTCGTTATTTTATCCGTTATCCCTTTAATATTTATAGTCGTTTGCCATGCCAAAATTGCCACTCATTTTAACAAGCTAATAGAAGATCAGACATTACAGGCTGCTGCTACACATCGGCAACGAGTCATTAAAATGCTTGCTTTAGTGGCTGTATTCTTTATTCTTTGCTACTTCCCCTATCAAATATTTTATGTCATCGTTTTATTCCCCAATATCGGTATTGATTATCGAAGTGCAGTTTTTGTAGCTGCTATATTACGTTTTATAATCAACATGCATTCTTGTGTTAATCCTATTATTTATGGATTATTTAGTACAAAGATGCGTGATGATATCAAAAGATTAACTATTAAATCAGCAAGATCATCAACACAGTTGTCTCTATCCAAAGCTAGTTTTGATAGTCGCTTTTCAAAATCTTCATCAACATGTCCATTAGGCAAAAAAAAGCCTATTCTAACTGATCTGTAAGGTTTTGTCGTGGTGGTAGTTTTAAATTGTGCATCACATATGTCGTTATTAAATACTATATCTATCGATATAGAACATTTTATGCATAGAGAACTTTATTAGACCTTTTTAATTCGAATTCATTAATCTTAATCTTATATAATCTGCAGGCTTAATGTAATACGAGTATATAACTCCGTTATGAGATTAAAGGAGAAGAAATAACTGGGCTAAATACATCGATAAATTTTGCCTGTTTAAAGATCTTAACAATGGATAATAAATATCACTTCCATCGTTTAGGTATAAATAGACAACATTGCCTCAGGCAATATCCAGTGGAAAGTATTCGAGTTAAAGTAATTTGTAACAAATATCAAGAATCTAGAAATGAAAGAAATACACACGGATTGGACGATTTTTCTAACCTGCAGGGAAACATATAAATGTTAGCAACGCCTTAGCAAAATGTCTGTTATAGGTTTCGTGTAGGCAAAGTAAAATTTGCTGGTTCAATCACATTCTTTAAACTTCTACTTGTTACTATGAGATTTCGACTATACATATTTATCGTATGTAAACTGATCATTTCCTCGGCCAAATTGGACAAATTTGTATCGGCTGATGCCGTAGGCAGGAAGTTTAAATGGCTAGACAGGCAAAATTAAAATTATCCAATTCAATATTCTATTCGATTCTCCTCTCGTCGACATAGTTGAACAAGGTCTAAATCTTAGATCATGGATAATAAACTATTCAAATCCACTGAATTCTAGAACTAACAACGTTTCAAGATAATCAGTTAGTATAAAAGTTATATGGAAGAATTCTAGGATCGTTTAATGAAGCAAACGATACTCTGATACTAGGAGATGGATCAACCGTGAGCTTTTAAAGTAATAGGAAGGAATTTATTTCTAGCCTTAACAAACTTGTGGGGATTTCCAATTTCCATTACTAATTTAAATATTACTACGGTGATGTTAATAATATTAGATCCAACCAGCTGTTAATACCGTAAAACTGAGGCTGTCATATTCACTTGCGTTTATTCAAATCCTGTCGACTTATTAATCCAATAAGTTTTAAATGTGATCTATGAGAAGTTGCCGTGCCCAAAGGAAACGTTTAGAACACTACTGATTTCATAATACAATTTCTAAGCTTGATTAAAAAGATTATAATTAAGCAACCACCAAAGTTAATATTACAAAGAATCTCTAAATATTATATTTATAAATAAATGATGCATTATATGGCAATCAAATTTTGACGATTACTTATATAGATATAATATTAATATTTACCTCTTGATAGTACTTCCATCAAACTACTTAAAGCCGATATTGAAATGTTTAATTGTTGAATTATTTGTATGCTATTCCTTTAGTTAAATAATCATGATATGTTTTGTTTCTAACTCTCTTCACTTATTAATGTCTAGGAACCAACATTAAGTAGCAAATTAGTTACTTCTAAATGCAAAATGACTAGCATATGACAGTATTAAAACAAAATATTATATATGCCAGTCTTTCTGTTTATAGATTGACGATTATGTCTTTTCATCTATACCAAGATTAGTTCAAGATTATTTGGTTAAAGTGATCTAAGTTAAGATAATGCGAATGCTATATATACGTGATATGCTAATAACTAGAAAAATTTTGCGTCCATCATATCAATATCCATATAGCTAATCTATGACAACCGATATAGTTCTGAGGCATTACACTATTAGACATACTACCTTATAGATTGTTGAATTATTTGTGGAATTATTAATAAAGTTTAAAATTTGAACTTGCAATAACTATGTTCCTCCTATTAGGTTGAAAGAAAATTAACTTACCTGCTTCATAACATGATTGCAATATCAAACAACTGCAGGAGACTTGCAATTACTATATTCCTTTTATTATATTAAGGGGAAATTAATTTACCTACTTTACAGCATGATTATAATAACAAAACGATTACAGCATTTGCAACAAAATAGAAACATAAAGCACATCAACTATACTTTACGTTATTTATATCGGAATATCATTACAAGATAGGCTTCTTTATCTATTGTAACCCGATTACCTGGTTAACAGAACTGAAATTCCATTTATGAATGATCAGTTAGTTACGGTACAATATGTGAAAAGATTACTGTATACGGCTGTGATATATACCAATCACGAAATTCCAAATTTTAGAAAAACTAATACAAACTCCCGTCGCTTTGCTGACGGTTTACGATAATGTGCTCATTTAACAGATAGTATTACCATTTGATAGACCTAGCGAACTAACAGAATAATCTAAAGTTGTATGCTTTTAGACTTTTCGTAGCATTCGCAGCTACAATCCGCATGGCAACCTTTTACCTTATTTTACACATAGTAAAATTACTCTTAGTAACACTATTCCACTGCGGACCATCATTAATCCGATATGGATGCGACTACAGTATTTACGTAGACATTATTCATACCAGCCAAAGTATAATGAATTAACCATATCCTAATATATGATTTACAGTTCTATTTTTACCTATGACCTTATTAGTAACGCAACACCTTATTGTACAGTATATAGTCATCTGTACTCTAGCATAGAGTCTATACCACTACAGTCCATATTTATGGCTACCAAACGTCTCCTAGGATAAATATCTACCGTACATTATACTAAACATGGCTAACAGTCTACAATCACAATACTAAGTTACATTACAACGGCAAAGCTCTATTTTGATTATCTATCGTGCTGATGCATTATTAAGCCTGATTGAATGAAATCAGTACGGCAATTCTCCGTATAATATTCTCTGCAACAGATGGAAAGTAGACAAACATAAAAGTCAATTTTAAAAATCCATCAATATCTATCGCTTTGCTAGTAAACCGGCAATTCTAATTACTAAGTTACATTACAACGGCAAAGCTCTATTTTGATTATCTATCGTGTTGATACATTATTAAGCCTGATTGAATGAAATCAGTACGGTAATTCTCCGTATAACATTCTCCGCAACAGATGGAAAGTAGACAAACATAAAAGTCAATTCTAAAAATCCATCAATATCTATCGCTTTGCTAGTAAACTGGCAATTCTAATTAGAACATTCGTGATCGGATTTTATCACAAGTCACTAAACAGCGATAAATTACTTAAGAATTTCACTATTGAAAGACATTGTTACTATGAAGTAAAAAATTCATAAGTTAAAGTACTGATGTCACTATATGGTATTAAATTGTTTGAGAATTTAATAGAATGAGAAAATGCTCAGTTTAGATGTTTTGAGATGTCCATAAAATTAGAATGAGATTAGTGATAAAGTTCCTAAATTACAGAATTAAAGCATGTTGCAAGTATTGCACCCTTCACTGCTGCTTATTGTTTCCATTTATCGAACTTTAAGGGAAATTATAGATATAGGCAAAGTTTATTTATTTCTAACTTTTGCCAATTGTAACGGATACGCCGAATTCAAGTCGCTTGTAAATAGAAAATATCAAAATAATTATCGAATAACAAGAAAATACGGATTGATAACTATGCTAGAAGTTTATATTCTAGCAGTAGCCAAAGACTTGTAAAAATTGATATTCGAGCTTCAGAAAGAAATGGCTGAAGCCTTGCCGATTGATTAAAATAGATTTCGAAAATAGGATATGATGAGAAATGTTATTGAAAGGAAGTCATTAGTCGGCTTTTCATTCAAGACGCTTCTTAACTTGCCGCCAATCGGTATCTTTTATATTATGCCTACGCTATTCAGATAAAATAATAATAACGTACTCAACTAGTCAAAGTAAGACAATTATATTATTTCACCGAATGTTCGCAGGAAGATTAGGCACTGTAATTTTAACTAGTAAACAATTTAAACTGCTAGGTGCTGGCGTATCCTTTTCGCACTATTAAAAATATCTGTTACTCTTCATGAAACCAAATACTGACGTTAAGTAAGCTGCTGATGGATGGCATGCCATTTTACCAACTACTTTATCCAAATATCAATGGATTATCAAATTCTTAGGCCTAGGAAAACTTTATACAGTAATTATAATCAATATCAGATTAGCTAAAAACAAAATAATTTCTAGATATTGTTTAGATGCTACATGTACAATCTACATGCGTACATACTAGTGAAATAGAGCTTACCATGACCATGAGATTGCTATTTCGTTACAACTACCATCTGTTATTGAAAGAATTTGGGAACTGTTATGGTCATAACTCCGATGGACCTTGAAGCTACAATTCTATCTAAAATCGCCTTGATTAAAACAGTAAAGAAATTCAAGAATAGTAAGTGATACGTTATCCCTATGTTAGCTAAGTTAGTTTACCAAAATGACTCATTCTTCCAAGATTATCTTTCGATAAGACTAATGAAAGATTTTCGTTACATGTCTAGGATGAGCAAATCGATCGCCTGAATATAACTTGGCACATTGCGTATCCGGTACGTGTTTGGGTAAGTTGAAATTTATTTAGTCAATAACTAGAATAATAGTTTCATGCTTGATTACACTTGATTAATGATTTCTGCTTGATTTTTTCTACGTGTACATTCTGCATCGATTATATCAACAAGAACTAGATAAAGAATCCACGAATCATTAATTGAACTGGAATTTTTTAAAGGCAAAGACAGAAATTAGAGAACGTTCAGTGCATAGCTTTAGGTCGGTAATGAAATACTGGTATATATCGCGGTTAATTAATCCTATGACAATCATAAATTTTGCAATATAATAGTTAGATTAACAAAGCCTTAAAAATCCAGCATTATAAACAAAAAATTAGTCGTGAATAGGTTGTTTAAATACATTCAATAAGCTAACTTAGAAGGCAAAAGAAATCGAATTACATTATTTTAACACTATTTATATAGATATAATTTTCATTACAATACAGCAGCGATGTTTTATATGCTTGCACCCTATATCTTTGCTTATATATGCTCGCAAATTATCTAAATTCCAATTTACTAAATTTCATAAAGGCTCGCTATTTAGTAAAGACATCTATCATTCACCTTATTAAAATGCCACTAACCTGACTATGTAGAAATTATGGGTAGCGTTCTTTACTATAAATTTATGGTTATAAGAACGACTAAAAATTATATGTTAATTCGCAATCCATAACAAATGAAAATTTTAATTAATTATTAGACGGACTTTATCGAAGCGCTTAAAGACCATAAATCAAAGCTTTTATCTCCCACATTTAATTCACACTTTTGATGCCTATCCTTAAATATATAGGATAGTGTTTATTCGAAAATCGCTTTTAATTTCGCTCAAAGGTTTAATAAATTTCTAGATATGAATGAGCGTAATCATTCTGGTGGAACAGAGTATCATATAATCAATACCCACGTACAGTACTTTAATTTACTAGTATTTTTATCTTATCTTCTTTATTCATCATTTAATATTTAATTAATATCAAAATTAAAGTTATAATACATCATAGGCAAAAATTTCTCGCGTAATTTTATCTGTAAGCTATTTCTAAAGTAATACCTTCGTGGTGTTACGTATAGGCAATGTTTGCGTTTATTATTAGTAGTATATTAATTTTATCTTTATGAACAAGTGATTGTCTTAAGATTGTTCACAAATATTAAAGTTTACTATCATGGTACGGTAATTTAATGAAATTAATTAAGGCAGAAGGAATGAATCACTGTAGTTACAATAACAATTGTAGTAATCACTTACGATACAAAATCTCACGATTTTAGTAAATTGATAATAGTGAAAAAGTTCACGATAGGGGTGAGGGTGGCAATAATGTTTGTGCACGAAACCGAATTCATAACCATGAAAAAAGGTTATTCGATTACTTACTGATGGAAAAAATGTTATCAATAATTACAGCATTTATTAATCTAATGGAAAAATTAATTCGAATCTGATAACGCTTCATTTCAGTTTGTGAACCTATTTTATCAGTACAACAGTTATTTTTGCGAACTTGTTTGTTGATACTCTCAAAGCCTTATTCAGCTTAACAGAATACCTTGTATAGCCTCAGGGTCTATTCACCTTTAATATCCACAAGCTATTTCAGAATATGCTAGTAGAAGCTTAGATTTTTAGAAGTAATTCTTCATCTTCAAACGCTGTTGCCATACCTTTTATTAATCGATAGGCTAACTATACTCAAAATATGGCTATTACAGCCCATTTACGGTGCCTAAAGCAGTTACTTTTAATGAACCGATCTAAGATTTACTTTCAAATGATTTTCTTACGACTACTAAGTCATCATGATTACCGGTATTATTTTGATAAAATTCTGATTTAAATTTATTGAGTGTACTCGAATGATGTCCATTCCATGATTCCTAAATTCATTAAAATACCAAAATCTTTATTTTTTAATCAATGATAGACGAAAGGTAAAATGCTACCCAATGACTAGCATATGTACTAAGAACTAAAATTAATTTCTGAATTAGTAATTAATAAATATCTTAAACTGTGCTAATTTTTAGTATAATTACAAATAATGAATTGAATTTAACTGTATTAATTACGAAGAAGCACTCGAGAGTATACATAAATGAAATACTTTTACTTTTATCATTCCTTAGCTCTAAAACATTTAACATGTACTAGTGCTAAGTACGACTTAATTACCACGTTATTGCCGGTATTTTTCCCTTGCTTGCCGTTTGAATTATTTTGAGGGCTATTATTTAACTGCTTGACAGCATCATATTGTCCAATTCTGTTTTTTAATGCATTTTGAACCTGAAATTTATAGAATGTAAGACGTTTATTTGCCCTTTTTACGGATATGCAACAGTATTCAATGTAATAATCAAAAGACGATCTAATATAAGAAGAATCTGCGTAAAAAAGATAAACTGAAATTAAACGACGCCATAAAAGCAATATAATAAGATAACCTCGCTGTTTAAGGCGCAATGAAACAGAAAGATGAAGAAGCCCTGAAAGATGCAAGTTATATAGATTACTGATTACATCAGTTCTATTAGAAATTAACATAATGATAGTTCATAAATAAAGAAGTTACAAGATATCAAACTATAGGGAGGGAGGAGCTATTATGAACAATAGAGCACCGTCTACAGATTTAGCCTTATTTATATAGATTTGATTTGATAAAAGTGCTGTGATTACCTGAAGTGAGTTAGTTATTACGAAGATATAATCAAAGAATAGCGTCTGCTCATTAATGGTAAGTACACCGAAAATCCACGTTAATCCAAGGATTGGAACCAGTATGACGGCACCTCGCAAAGTTGACCTATATATCGATAATATGGTATCATTTTCTTTATAAAAGGAATTGTATTCTTCCAAATAATTATTCTATGTGAAATTGACTTGAAAAACTACTTTATAGTCGCAAAATCGGCTGTTTTCTGCTCAATTGCAACGGGAGATGAAGACCGACATATTATTCTGGCAACTAGGATAAATATCACAAAATTGATCTGCAGAAAAGTTAAATATAGATAAAAAAATTTGCGTTCAATGGTGCCTCATTTACGATGTAAACAAAAATAAATGACTCAAGAAGTTGTCATTCGATTTAATTACCGTTATGATAGCAATTACAGGCCCAACAAAAGCCCATATCAATCCATTTTTTATCGATAACCAGCAGCTAAATCAACAGATCATGAAGCGTAGAGGTAGTTTGAGCGTATACTATATTTAATCCCTATCTTTGATTGAGAATACATATTGATTTATCTTACATTCGATTGGAGCCATAATCATTAAAGCGAATGGCTATAGATGTTGCGACTATAATTACTGGAATGCCTGAAATTAGTTTTAAATGATTAAAATGAAATTTTCTGTTAAGAAAACATCGAAATGAAAAATATCAGCTGATCGAATCCATTGCAAAACTACTTTAGTAATTTATCATAGAGCTCTTAGTGAGTAAACTTAAGTTTAAATAAGCTAGCTAGGTCGACATTTATATGTAGATAGATCATATAGTACTTATAACATACCCCAACCGACGAACACGTATAGGAACGTTTTACTGCGTCCCGAAGTAAAAACTTTGACCATTAATAAGTAAAGGTGGAGACCTTCTACCAGCATCCATGTAAAGGCAGCGGTAAATAGGAAATGTTGAATAATAGCACTTACTTTGCATGCAGTCTATCGAAACGTTAACCTTAAAATTAGTTATAATTCATACAGTTGATACTTGGTAATATACTAGTATTTTTAAATATTCCGTTTTAATTCAACAAAATCTGTTATACCGCCTATGAAAATAAAATTTAAACTATCTATTCAAAATCGAATATGACGTATCATAATGTGAAAGCAACATATATAAGAAAATTTTAATTTATATTACACCATAATAAACAACAAAAAATTTGATTTACAACAATTTTAGACAGTATGCGAAGTAGAACGACGATTGTTTTGACCTTAAGGAACAAGAATTATTAATAGTATCAGATCAAAAGGAAGTAATTTTTTGATGACAAATTTAGTGAAGAAACTCATATAGTTCAACAAAATCTTTAGTACGGGGTTTTTAATTTTATCGCATCGAAATATCAAAATTTTGAGAAAAATTCACAGCCCAAGACGAATTTATAAGTGCGTAATCTAGCTAGATTGCGGTAATAATCTAAAAAACGGCTTTATGAGGTCGCCATAAATATCATCAATGTTTCAATCTCAAGTCTCAATAATTCGATTAAGCAATCGTCATTTACCATAAAAATGTTAATACTTACATGATGAAGATAAGCTTGCGATGTAATGACAGCGCTAACGTTGGCTAGTAGTAATGCTAAACACAGATTTTTGTGTATAAAAAAACGATCTGATCGTAGATTCCTAGCAAATCAATTACAATAAATAATTCTAAAGGATTGATTTTCACTTCGAAAAACTGAAATTGCTACACATAATGCAAAGTGTCATAATATAATGGAATTAATGGTAGAATTTTACCTTAATGACACCAAGATAATCAGAGTGAAGAGTAAAAAAACGGCTGATGTTACTACACCCGCAATCCCAATAGTTCCCAAAATTTTCGAGTGATACTGGTTAACCTACCGTTGGTTGTAGAAAGTCATATAAACAATTAAATCAGAGATGATAACGCTGTGTTTGTATAACTTGAACATATTCTTTACGCTAAGATTAACCCGTACCGTTGTGTTGGTTACGATCATTAACGCAGCAAAATGGGTTAAATGGTTACATCTACAATGGGTTCTTCCGTAGTATTGGCGAACAAAGTTGCAACCAGATGTTGACCAATTACTGAAATTAAAGTATTGGATTAAGTGAAAAAAAGAACGGCTACTGTAATTAATCTCCATATTATAATATTACAAGTGGGTTAACAGAGCAGAATATTACGGATAAGAGTTTCTTCCAGTTATAAGACTTACCTTTGATTAAAATTCCAATATGAACACTGAATGTCGCTCAAAGCTACTCGTTCCTATTTTTATTAACATGAAATTAAACAGCACTTACTGGATGATACAATACTTTCATATTATTATATCCATACAGCTTTGATACTGTATAAGAGTATTCACCAATATATATTTTATGGCTTTTTGATATTTTAAGAAGAGGAAACTACTTACTTTGTAATTACTAAGCAGATATTGAAATTCAGTAGGCTGAATCTTCGAAGAATTAATCGTTGAAACTAAAGAGCACGAAACGATATTGGTATTGACGTCTAAGCTAGATTCCGAAGGTAACTCTGAGAACAATCTGTAATTTTCATTGCAAAAAGTAAACATAATTATTAATTTTCCAAAATAGCGTTTAGAAAATAATAAAGTAGGAATTCTAAATTACGTATTATATTAATATTCGTGGCACTGATCCGAATATAATCAAATTTTCATTGCAACAGATCAAGTAATGCAAATTACACGCTTATAGTAGCCACTTATCCAGAACACTATGAAATAACAAATTATATGAGTACATTCGATTTTACCTGTAGTTCTTGTAAATAATTACAACGACATTGGACTTATTAACTAGAAAGATCAGTATAATATAGGAATAGGTTAAATTATTATCTTGTACTTGTATTTAATATTAGGTTTTAAATATCATTATAAAGAAATTATAATAATTTCATGTACGGCAATGTAATTTATGAAGTTAATGATTCTATATTTACCTAAATTCGTATCATAATGTAATTGAAGCCAGTTATTTGTAGTGGTTTGAAGGCCGATGTAGGTAGAATATGGCGTGTCTATTTTTTCCATTCTTAATTCTAAATTTTATAAGAAAATAAAGATAAAAAATTTAAGACTTTAATGCCAAGAATAAGAAGATTATAAAATCTCGATAATTTCGACTTAATTGCTTGATTTAAATTTAGTAACAAGTAGATTGCAGAGCCTACTTCAGTTGTTGGTAGCTGACACTTTCTATGTGCCTTTGAAAGCATTTAATAAAAATTATAAGTACAGCTATACATAAATTACTTATTAATTAATTACTCAGAAATTGTAGAAGCAGAGATTACTGCTTCTGCTCTGCATTTTGAATATAATCTAATAAAGGATCGTACTAGGATATACTGTAAAACTACAACTTTAACATCCTATAAACGCAAAAAAATATTATCATCTTTGCTTACGATCATTTTAATAACCGTTAAAATCAGCTATTCTCTCATGATTTGACATATGCACACTCTTGTAAGAGTGCAAAGTACTGCATTAATGTACTTAAATCTTTTTCTCGAAAAAAATACTAGACAATTCACTTCAATTATTGTAACGCAATAACAACAGATTTCCTATACTGGCTATATTAACTTTTATTTGAATTTTCCTCACCCATTCGAGTTGTTTGGATTACAATCGGATTCCTTAATGGAGTACCAGCAACCCGAACTGTTAACTTTTCTAGATTCTTCATGGTAGCCAGGATAGGATCTAACGCCTAATTAAATAAAATTAATGGGTGAGAGCTTATTCTGATCTAATATCCTTTATAGATATAGGTACAGTTGGAATTTTATTAAAGATTCTAATGGCTTTTAGAAAAAAAAGGAAACAATAATTGCAGAAAAATCGATTTAAAATCAATATAATTACATTCTTCCATCCAGCCCTTATTAAAGTTTCAGCTTTATTAAACAGAACTTGAGTTATTTCAATAGATTCCTAAAAGCATGAGATTTATAAAATTTGGTTAATATTAACAGTTATCAGTATAATGATAAAGTTGAGGATGCCTTTAATTTGTTCATTTAACATATTATAAAGAAATCTTTAATAAATTACATTTAATACAATGAATTTAAGAGTATCATTTTTGCGACTGATGGCAATATTTTCCCATGTTCTACTCAAAAGCTGACTAGCAGCCTCCAGCTGGCCAATACTTTTATCACTGGTCTCATTGGCATAGATTTGATTTCTAATGGTATTAGATACATATTGCAGATGTTTCTAAATTGAATTTAAATTAAAGATTAGGAAGATATTCTTAGAGCAGTATCAACTATAGTCTATCGTTGTATATTTGGCAAGCATCAAAGTTATACATGATGTATTTCAATTTATCATACATGATCATAAGGGACAGAATAGTTTAAAGATGGATCTGGTAAGATATTATACACTGTATATGATGGAAGAGGTTGTACGTGTAAGTAGTACTGCTTTGCCGTATGGAAATATATTTATAATACCTCAGGCGAAATCTTCACGGGTATCGCGACTAAAATAATAAATAAAATAGAATATCAGTACGAACGCAAATTCTATATAATATTGTGTGTTCATAGCACTTTCAACTATCTTAAATATATAACAGCTTTTAGGTAAATGATCCATATAAACATTTTTGTTACTTTCAGAGTTACTTCAGTTTATGACGGAAATAAATTTAAAATTCTAATCTCCTAATTAAGTATAGGTTCCATACGTATGAATCGTAAGGCATGATGCAAATTGCTATTGTGGAGAACTACTTTCTGTATTCAATTTTAGCAAAAGTGAACAGGAGTTCCTATCAGAACTTTAAAAATTTGTGCTTATATAATAGTGACAACCAAATCTATTTAGAAAAAAATTTTCTAAAGGTCAACTTGGAAAGTAGTGATACCGTATTTTCAGCCTCAATTCGATATAGAATTTGCAGCTAACTTTAATAAATAAAACGAAATCCAGTAAGTAATTGCTTGATCATAGCAGGATAGTATACTCGCTTATTGCAAATGTAGTAAATGCAGTAGCTGAATCCATATATCCAATTGTAACATGATATAATTTATATTGATACCTTTGTATTAAGACTACGAGTACATCTAGAAGCAAGTTTTATTTACAGAAAGAATATTTTCCAATTCTGCTTACGTTCGAAATAAATATATATTAAATGCACTATTACATTGGCAATTCTGAAGTAATTAAATTTATGCAAAGTAGTCTAATATTTAAAATGATCTATAAAATCTATTTATTTGTATGTTGGAATTAGATCCTTTAAATTAACAGGAGTCTTAAATCCTGCTGTCAATAATTCTACATGCAACTCACATTTTTCACATATAAATCCATCAAGAAAGGTTGTATTACAATTATACTGAAACCATTTCCATCCTAAAGGTCTAAGTGTTGCAACACACAACTCTGTTGAAATTGAGCCCACTAAAGGGGTAGTTAGCCAGTTATGGAATAAACTGGTATTCGAGCCATCAATCCATTTGTAAGCATAATTACTTATGTTATTGAATGAGTGTTGCGACCTTAAACCAATCCATAAACCGTGATATTGCATCGTTGGTAAGGATAGTAACCATGAGGTTTCATTCCATACGCTTGCATTTTTTACTACTAGAAGGCTCGCATTATGTGAACTACATATATCGAGCGATTCATAATAATTATAGCGGAATACATTATTAGGAGCAAAGAATATTTGTATACATTTGGTGCCATTTTGGATGGTAGTCCAATTTGATGGGCACGCTGAAAATATTCCGTAAGTTCACAATAATAAGAGAAGCAATTTTTTAAAGGAAACAAATAAATCAATTTAATATTTAATACAGAAAATCAGTAAATCACTATCATAAATTTTGATTTTTCCTTATGAGTGAAATAAACACTTCATTAAGGAACATTAACTCACGTAAATACGATGAGGCATAGGTCTTAAGAATCAAAGTAGACAGCTAATGAATTAAATAGTTGATGAATAAACATGATTAGTACTTATATTTTTTCCCTCGTCAAATTTGTTGATTATAACAAAAGCCTTTAGTTACAGAATATAAAGTATAATATGGTAATTAATCATTTTAATAAGCTTTATACCTGAACATGGCAGAGTAAAGTCAATGCATAAAATATATCTAAAGAAACAATATTTACGTCTCATGAAAGTTTGATAGAAGACACAGTTTTATAGATAGTAGCACTAATTTCATGAGATAAAAGCGACAGATGTACATAATTCTTGTTTGTCATAATTTTTATGATAAAAACTAACTTTTAGAGAATCATTAGATGCATTAACCATTGCTGCAACTGCATCTTGTAATGCTTAATGTATCAGAGGACGATAAATTTGTAATTTTATGTTCTATTCCCCCTGACAATTCATTATAACACATCAATCTCTTCCATTAATTCTACAAATTTTAGTAATTCGCTTACATTCAATTGCTTAGTCAATAATTTTTTTACTGCTTGCATTTTAGTTATATCTAGGGGTTGATTCATGCGCATGTATACTCTGACATAAGACAAATTTAAGGAATGATCTAAGGTGTGATAGAAATGTTCTTGATATTTAATTGCATATAAGTAAGATTAACTCATTAGGATTGATAATACAGTATCTGCTATCCGGACAATATGATCACAATCATATGATAGTAAATTTTCTGATATGATTGATATCCTCAAGATTACATTTTCTATTTAGTTACCTTATAATGCATTACCTTATTATGCCTTCAATTTTAATCTAAGTATTTATCCATATAATATATTAATTGGTGGTGCCCTTATATCTAAATTATCGACATGAATCGAATTAATTTATGGATGTTTATACTTGCATACTTGCACTAGTCTCAAATAATAAAGCGATAACAAATAGCACTGCACAGTGAAATTTTATCGATGTAAAAAATTATGTTATCCTTAAACTTTTCAAAGACGGATCGATATTGAAATCTATATTCCTTAATAGATTGATGCCTATTAGTGACAAAATGAAGTACGAGTCTGTCACGGTACGAACTACCGTGAAGAAATAGCTGTCTAAATTTGGTGAATATAATATAGTGATAATATATTACTACTAGTTACTTACAATACGAATTACTCTAATTATAAATGTGTTACAGTAAATCTAATGCTGCGTTGTAATGTGCACTGAAATGATTCTGTGAATGGACATATTGTAGTCTGAATGTGAAAAATTAGTTAGTAGATGTTCTCACCTAAGTATTTTTATACGATGACTCGCGAATGTTAACTGCTGTAGAAGGGTATATAAGCCCGTCAAATAGTTGAATAAAGTAGTTCTCAATTGTCTAGTTGAGTTTAACGTGGAATCAAAGGCGTCTAAATTCTTGTGAGATAGTTAAGGGATACTGAATCCCGGAGACTATAGTAATTTAGAGATTTGTTTTACGTTATCTTGGTCACGAAGCTGGTTTGTGACAGAGTGCATCTAAAATAAAGTGCTTTAAATTATCGCAAGATCACCTTTCTTTTCATGTAGTTCTACCAGTTATACAGTTATTAAAAGCCATAATCCAATGCTGAGTATAATTGAAAATTGTATACGATCAACTACTTCATAGTTAGAAGATAGATTTTTAAATTTTTAAAGCATTTGCTGTCGCTGTCGTAAAAATATGCGTATATCATCAGTCGAAGTAAAACTTTATTATACTTGATACTGTTAGAGAATTATTTTCACAGGTAGATAATTTGAATTCTTTTATAAATAAGCGCATCAAAGTGCAACATAATTCATCATAAGATACTCCATAAATCAAGATGGAAATCAGTAAAATTAAGATATCCGATCTTGACATATTTTTTAACTTACCATGATTAAAATAAGTTCTGCACCAGCTGAAAGAACGCTCCTCATCTTGTCAAGAACTATTTATTTTAATTTTTACTTTAATAAGAGAGTTTCAAGTTTTCCCTGACCTGTTTTGATTGTGAAAAATACTTGTAATGAATATTAGAACTTAACTAAGAATTCTTAAACTCTCTCATCATAATAATGTTTTCTGATTTGAATTCGAAACGTATGAAAATCCGATTTTCTTTTAAAGTAAGCTATGACGCAAAAAGTATTGTTACCGAAAATTTTTTCATTATTTAGCGAATATTAATTCCATGATGGACTTGCTGATAGGCTCCTTAGGATGAAAAGCAATACAATCGTTATTTCTTGCTTTTGCGTAATATGTTGATCAAATTTAGATTACTTAAATTATAGAAAATAGCAAGTATTTTGTTCTAATAAATTCTTATTTACGATCTATATATCCTAGCCATATAGTGTACTTACGACAATTTAGGGTGCTTGTCAAATATTGTATCCTGTCCATGCGATTTAATTACCAATTTATATAAAATACTCTTACCGATTAAATGATAGATGTTCATCATACTATTTTTATGTAGTTTCATTGCGTAACTTTTTATTAAATAAATCATTACGTAAATGATTGACATCAAATTTAGATCCTTTATATTAATAACTTGAAAATGAATTCGTATTGTATCTTAGATTGATATTTTATAGAATAGTAAATTTTAACCGGTCAAATTAAAAATTGCTACTTCTTGCGTCCATTAGACTGTTTACTTAACGCGAAGGCAGTTAAATAATTTATATTGTTTCTGATATAGATATATAAATTACAAAGATACTTGTATGCATATTCAAACATGATGATTAAAATTATTTTGCAATACAAAGCTTTATCTACAGTTAAAGAAACCAATAATAGTGAATTTCATTAAATAGTTGTGTAGAATTTCTTAAATGAGCATGTTTTATATATATTTAGTAAAAATAAATAAAGGTTAATTGAACATTGTGTCAGTAACTTTTAGGAGAATTAAAGATAGGATTATAACATGAAGAATTATCAAAATAAATCGGTACACTTGAATAAACAGCTTGACGGAAAAGATTTAAGAATGAATTATTTATTCTTATTTCATGTACCATATACGGTTCAGCTGATATGATCAACAGCCACGTGAATAAGAAACCAATAATATTTCATGTTTTAATCTTCTACGAATTATAAATCGATAAAAGTATTATTAGTGATATTGCCCTACTTCACATAAGTTGAATTATTTCAAGATCTTGGGGAATTCACTCTTTAAAAGCAAATATAGTGCCTTTATGCTTGAGAGCGGAAGCATTGTACCTAACCTATTACAAATATAGGAATATTCATGATATTTTTAAGGTTAATTAAATTAATTTTATACCGCTATGAGAACGTTTATAATTTCTACTTGTATTTTGCTTTTAATATCCTCCTAGATATTAAGACAGTTGTGACATTACCTTATGATTTTATCTACAAGTCACGAAATGGCGCTACTGCTTATTTAAAATTTTATGCCTATAAAATTCGAATCTAAAAGTACTCTTGTCACAATAACCGATTGATCGTAATATTTTCTAACAGCTATGAAATTTATTAAATGAATAAGGTAGTATCACTAACTTTTTCATATCAAATGAATCAATACTTATTGATACAATACCAATGTAGCCTTGATTCTACAATAAATTAATTTCTCATGAATCAGCTAGTATGTCAACTCTTGGCCGTAAAAAGAAATTCCGAATTTGCATTGATAGTTAAATCTCATTTGCATGTAAATTATTTAGTAGCAACTACAATTAAACATTTGCCTTGTAACTGGTATTAGAATAATTTCTCTTTACTAATATATAAATTTGATAAAAATTATGGCCCAAAACACTATATTGTAACGTCAACTATCCGAATGGTACGATTATGATCAGTAAAACTTTAGCCATCAATTTATAATTTAATGTTTATTACTTAATACTGTCAGTGATACATTTTTATAGATAGAAAGACTTTAAGGTATCACCGAGTCTAATATTAAATCTGCGTATTCTACAATAATGTAGGTAAATATTCTAAATCTTTATATTTTCATATCTGATGTAAAATTAAAATGATGCACCGACTTTCTGGCTTTAACATAAACAGAAAGCATTTGCATGTATCGATTCCTATAGTAGTGACTGATTCGTGAGATCTTATTCAATTTGAGTATTATTAATTACTTTATGAATATTTTATTGAAGAAATTAGGTGTAACTAAAGATAGATCATGAGTTATGATGCCAATTGAAAGCCATTTCCAAGGTCCTCACTTCCTATTTCTTTGACTTAATAAATAACTGCGAAGAAGTTACGGGATTGTACCCTAAGCTCATCCCCTTTTTGTTCTATGAAAGTATAAACTGTCCAACAATATAGCAAGGTCAATATCCATTTTACTGGCATAAAGGTATAGAAACAGGAATCTGTAGTGGATCTTGCTGATATGCTAAGTTTTTGAGAGTAATGTCGTCCTATCATTTATTGTCGGATATCTAGTGGGTAATGGGGGATTAATTAATCTTAATCATAAATTATAAATAATCAGAACATTCGAATCGAATAGAAGTAATTCAGTATTACAGAACAAAAGCATTGGTTATTGATGTTGGATCTTAAAATTTAATCAAAATTAAATTTACTACGATAGAGAACGGCACCTAGGACTATATGTGATAATTATAATGAGGCCGATTAGTTTCTATAGCGCTTGACAGGATAGACTCTTGCTTATTAACTCCACAAATTAAAGCGCTTTCAAATGAGTATTATCGAATATTTTATCTTATACTTTACCTTTATCACTTTAGTATGGCTAAAAATTGTTGATTTATACGCGGATACATATATACGTTTTGCAAGCTCATTATAGCTAGAAATGATGGTTTAATATTTTTAACCCTCAGCTCCTAAATACACAATCTGATCAATTGGATACCACCGTACACGCAATAGAAAAATTTCCGTATTCCCTACGCTTTCTGAGCTACTTCTAGATCAGTACAATTAGCCGGTAAATCATAGGAACCATATGATCTATGGTACAGTGAATTTTAAGTTGAAGTAAACTGAATAAATCGCCTTTGCAGTTTATAAACTAATCGAAAGATAGGTTAATTTATACATTGGCGGACCAGTTAATGACAACCAGCAGACGAGTTCGAACTTGACTAGGTGACTGTAGTTGGATATAGGATTGTCATTGGTCACTCCTTCTTGTAATTATTAGTCTTAGCATCCGTCAGTATTGTTCAAGTTTGATATCGTCAATGGTTTTTTACGTAACTGGCAGCTAAAACAGTCGCGATATACTTGGCATAATACACCGTCTAATAATTAATTATTGAACAGATGAAAATTTTCATTTTGCGCAGCAGTATACGCAGTAATTCATTTATGAAATAATCCTGCGTGTCCATTGTAATATGGCCAATCATGTACGAGTACATGTACGTAGACTGCGTATACGATATATTACTGTCCAACAAGCATTTTACATAGGAAAGGCTTTATTTTGCGCAACTACGAGTATACCCGCCAGTGATTGATTTGTGAAACATCTGCGGGCGTAGAGTATGTTGTCCTATAAGCACATTTTTTTCTTTATAGTAAAATACTGTCCAGTATGTAATATTATTACTATTAGTTCATTATATCGTCTTCGTCATGACAGCCACCTCGCATTTGACTATTGTACAGTATAATAGAATCGGTGCAGTGAGTGCATTCATATGTCTTGATCTACAGTATGTCACTACCTATATCATCATATGCATTTACTTATTAAGAGCAATCTTGATCTACTCTTTTTAATGATGATGTATCTCTCTCTATCTTGGTAACAACATCAGCTGATGTTTTGTTTGTGATTCTTGAATAAATCTACTTCTATCCTCTTCAATCGACAGACATGCTTTTCGATCTGAAATACATAACATTGCACAAGGTACTGGTATACAGTTCACCGACTAAAACCATTTTACAGAGGAAAATCTTCATTTCGCCTAGCTGTATATACTGTATATACAGCTAGATATGTCATATATATAGAAGTCTTAGCAATATCTTTGAGCTTCAAGTAAATTTATTACCGAATATCCATGGATACTCAATCGCACTCGATGTTGGTGCCCGTCTAACCATAAAAGTACTCTAGTATAGTACAGTGTACAGTGTAGAGTACGGTGTGCTTACTAAGTCTCTATAGTACTGTAGACTTTACTACTGTACAGTATGTACCAATGGATTCTTATAATTGAACTCTTCTTCTATCGACTGATATGTATTTTATTGAAAATCGACAAAAATTTTTCGGGAAAAAGTTCTGGGACAAAATGTGCTGTATGCTTACTGAAAGTACAGTAAATAGTTGTAGCTATGTACTGTATGGCCGTAAATTTGACATGATGATATGAAGTAGTGTATTTATACATCGGTTGAAGTCACATTTTTCCATATTTTTAGATAGTACTGAATGTATACATTTGACATGATGATGACTATATAAAGTAGTGTATTTATACATCGGTTTAAGTCACATTTAAGTAGTGTATTTATGCATTGGTTGAAGTCACTTTTTTTCCATTTTTTAGACAGTACTGAATGTATAAATTTGACATGATGATGATGATATAAAGTAGCGTATTTATACATCGGTTTAAGTCACATTTAAGTAGTGTATTTATGCATTGGTTGAAGTCACATTTTTTTCCATTTTTTTAGACAGTACTGAATGTATAAATTTGACATAATGATGATGATATAAAGTAGCGTATTTATACATCGGTTTAAGTCACATTTAAGTAGTGTATTTATACATTGGTTGAAGTCACATTTTTCCATATTTTTAGACAGTACTGAATGTATAAATTTGACATGATGATGATGATATAAAGTAGTGTATTTATACATCGGTTGAAGTCACATTTTTTTCCATTTTTTTAGACAGTACTGAATGTATAAATTTGATATGATGATGATGATATAAAGTAGCGTATTCATACATCGGTTTAAGTCACATTTAAGTAGTGTATTTATACATTGGTTGAAGTCACTTTTTTTCCATTTTTTTAGACAGTACTGAATGTATAAATTTGACATGATGATGATGATGATATAAAGTAGCGTATTTATACATCGGTTGAAGTCACATTTTTCCATTTTTTTAGACAGTACTGAATGTAAAAATTTGATATGATGATGATGATATAAAGTAGCGTATTTATACGTCGGTTTAAGTCACATTTAAGTAGTGTATTTATGCATTGGTTGAAGTCACATTTTTTTCCATTTTTTTAGACAGTACTGAATGTATAAATTTGACATGATGATGATGATATAAAGTAGTGTATTTATACATCGGTTTAAGTCACATTTAAGTAGTGTAATTTATACATCGGTTGAAGTCACATTTTTCCATTTTTTTAGATAGTACTGATGTATAAATACTGTACGGTACTGTATATCAGTGTAGCGTGTACAGTATGGAAACATTTGCAACACACTATACGGTACTGTACAGGATGGGATCCGGCCAGTTGAACTCAGTTGAAATTGCCTCAATTTACTGTAGTGTGTCCGTCCGTCTGATTGCATGACTCAGTAGTCATTTTCTTTGGCTGCCTTATCCAGATTTACTGTACAGTACAGTGTACAGTGAGTGTTCACTGTACCACGGTCTGCTAGCAGCTCATTTTCTACTTTTCCTCTGGGGAAAACGAGGTCATTATTGGGGAAATAATGGACGAAAAAGCACCCCAAAAATAAGCTGGTAGTACTCTATACTACTATTAGGGACCACTAGAAATACTGCCCACATTTTATTTCTAGTGACCCATGACTGTATCAACTCTGACAGATGGAGCACCTGCCAAGCCAACTGTACAGTGCACAGTACAATACTGCAGACTGTACCGTACCATCTAGACTTGGTACAGTAGAGCGAATTGACCTTCCAGGTGCATGGTATGACCTATGCCATACGTCATACAGTATGTGCACTGCGCAGTGTACGCATACTAAACCTGTTTACAACGGTACAGTACGTTCACTGTTAACGGTTCACATGACCGGTGGTGCTTTCACGGTACTGCGCAGTGCGCACTGTCTCGTTGTACGTACTGTATGTCCAAACTTGGGAGTACTGTACACCCCCTGTACGACTGTAAGCTCAGTATGGAATCTTCTGTGTGATGAAAACGGCGGCGGTCTCTTCATGTTTACCTTGCAAGGCGTTCGTCATTGGGAGTTAGGCAGGTAGAAAAAGTCCCAACCATTCTTATTAGCTTAATTATTGAAAGAGTTTTCGTTGGTAGGGATAGTCTACACAGCTTGTAAGTGAGAGGTGAACATCACATTGGGTTCATCATCGATGGCCATCGCTTTTAAAAGAACTCATTATCTAACTATTGCCTCTACGTGAGAGTGTGCTGAGAAATTTTCATCCCCTTTGTTTTCAAAATGGCGTCAATTCATCTGAAATATAGTATTGGTAATATTCTTCTGGGTATTACCTATGCATGCTTAGCTGTGGCTGGTTGGATTGTCTTCAACGATACATCATCGTTTTATATTCTCTTTCTTGGTCCAGCGATACCAGCCATACTGGTTTGTAAATAAGCCTAAAAATAGTGTTTGATATTGTCGATATAATAGAACTTCATTGAATTACAGTTGATATTCGATCAACAGACGAGTAGACGTTGTGCTGCACTGTATCAGTCGCCCGTCACCTATTTGACAACCATGTTCATATGTCATGAAGTGAGTACTGCTAGGAAGAGCAGTGTGAATCAGGAAAAGGCTTGACATTGCGCTGATATTGATCATGATGTACAGGCAGTGTATACTGTAGTATTCTGTATGCAGTGAAACACTCTACAAGATGAAAATGATCATTGCAAATGATAGAGACAATGCCAGCAATAATAAAACTTTAATGGCCACTACATCATATCTAGATTGAATACCATCACTTTGTCTTAAAAATGATTCCTAGCTTATTCCTGTAATATGGATGTACTGTACAATACAAATCAATCATTTCCTTCTATAGTCTAACGAGTAAGTACAATTATTTCAATCCTACTCGAATCGATCCTTCCCTATCATCCATCGCTGAATAGACTGTATCATATTGTAGCCGACTTCTATTCCAATGCACCTACTGCATTATGCCTTCTTGCAATAAGCATATTGTTGTCATTTTTTTGTCCATCTCTTCAAAACATGATACTTCTGTCATTGACATGTCAGAGCTACCTAACTGATCTTGACGGCTAACGTTACTAGAAACTGAAATGGCATTAAGAGAGAGCGATATTGAACCTTTGTTCTGAGTACTGATTAGTTATATTATCAACAGTGCTTTATAAATTGGTAGCTACCAATCTTCAATCAATTCATAAAGTCGATCGTTTTGAAATTAAATTACCTTATCTAAGTTCAATGACTAGAAAATAATCAACA